AGGTAGTAGTAGACTGATCGGTATTTGTCCGTTTTTGCTAACTATGGGACTCGCTCCACTGCTCAACATTCAACGTGCATTTGAACGCATTCCTGGACTTGGTGCATTCGTCGGAGTGCGACATTTTTCAATGCATCGGAACGATCATGATGTCCTAATACGTAAAGAGTGTTTGGTTGTGTAGTGGAGCGAGGCTCTATAACATCAAGTAGCGCATGGATTTTTTTATTTTTTTTTATTTTTTTTTTATGGAAAAGAAGACTGTATTTAGGTTGTATATTGGTTCTCAGCAAATGATAAATCAACGTAGGTTCTTCATTCCCTTCTCGGTGCGTAATTGATTGACACGTCGGAGAAGGGTGCCTTCTGAGGTCAGCAGCTTGGCTGTCATTGAAGAGGTCATTCTGAGCACTTTGGCGGTGTCGGAGACGGAGCACCCAGCAGCCACAAATACATCGAGGAGCTGCTGAGCACCTTTCCAAAATTGAGGGTGATTGGGTCCGTACGAGACACGTGGCGCGTTCTTGGCCTTGGAGGAAATGGCACGTGGCAAGATCGCGAGGAATTCGGGAGATGGCTGGTAACAACCGTTGCTTACGTCGATTGTTCGCCGAATATTCAAGGCAATGGACTGGCGGAGACGCTGCAGGGCCATTTCTTTGTTCTGATGTTGAGATCGACGCTCAGAAGCGTTGGCCACTACACCTGACACGTGTCGCAATCTTACGGCACTCTCCGTCTTGTTACGATGCTGGCCTCCCGGTCCCGACGCGCGGTACGTGTCCACTTGGCACTGCCTCAGCAGTTCCTGATCAGATAGCGCGAGGTAGTCAATCCAGACACCCTCCTCTCCTCGCTCACCTGTCCCGCCTCCCTCGATTGCCACGTGGTCGTGCGGAGGTGTCGCGCAATCGGTGTGGCTGTCATCGCCTTCCTCCGAAGCGTCTTCCGCCGCCGTGCCGGCCTTCTGTACGTGACAATCGCGCTCCCAAAGAGAGCCGACGGGGGAGGAAAGGTGCCCAGCGCCCCCCGACGGGAGTGTTTCAGGCGGCGGCGGGAATGAAGGATGACTAGGCGAGGAAATAGATGGAGATGGTGGTACCAGCGCGAAAGCTGGGGAAGAGGGGGTATCGAGATCGGGATCGGGATCGGAATCGCCTGTCAGGGCAGTTCGACCATCAGGCGCCGCCGGGCACCCCCCTCCGACTGTCTTCTGATCGCTGGCAGAAGTAAAGAGTCGGCGATTTGCGGATCGCGCACAGAAGCATCGTCCGGGAGATGTGAGATGTGCAATCCCGTGCTCCGTCTTCTCGCTCAAGGTCGTGTCAGTGCTGACGTGGCGATTCCTTGCAGCGCGTTCTGATCCTGGCGAATGCACGCGCTGACACGTGGCAGCGCCTCCAGGAGGGGCGCATGCTATCGTCGTGTTGGACACACTTGCCAAGCCGCGAAGCGGGCGGCCTCGTCTGCTGCTGACAGCGTACGCTGCTGCCTCGTCGAGAAGATGGCCGCTCGTTTCGCCACGTGTCAAGAGGGTAAACGGCGTCTCTTGCCAGCGGTTCGTGCAACTCCCGCACTGCCGAACAGGTGCTATCGGATGCCCATGTGTCGGCGGGGAAACTTGGGCCGTAGCAGGGATGGTCAGGAACATCGCAGGTAAGTCTCGCCATCTGGAAACCAGTCGAAGCGCAGCAGCACCGTAGGATTTGGCCGCCCAGCTGACGGGTGTCTGTTTCGCGGGTCCTGGTAATTGGGAACGTGGGGCGGCGCCACGTGCCCATGTTGGAGTTCCGCCTCCCGCCGATAATTGACGCTTGATGACTTCGGCCAGCATTGTGCCAGCTGTTGTTGCTACTTGGTTCCTCTCCTGCACGCTCTGCGCTGCTCTCCGCTCCGTTTCTTAGAATCCGCCCGGCGGTGGTCGTCTTTCTCCGTTCTGCGGACCTCGTCCGTTGGTTATTCGGCGCATATGCACGTCGGGTCCGCCGGTTTGCTGCGGAGGGACCGCTGCCCCGCCCCGTATGTGCTTTGGAGTTCGCGGCGACGAATGGAGTGCTACCCTTGGAACAGACCTGCGTTCCCGAAAAAAAAGGGGGAAAACAGAACGGAGCGTTCTCAGTCGGTATTTGTGAGTCTTTGATAACTACTTATTAGGAGTCCTTCGGGACATCCGTTAAAATTGGAACGATACAGAGAAGATTAGCATGGCCCCTGCGCAAGGATGACACGCATAAATCGAGAAATGGTCCAAATTAAAAAAAAAAAAGAACTACTTAGTTAGCTGGCATCTTCGTCCTCACCGAGTGCACTTACGGTTGCACTCAATGAATTCAGTTTTTTCATGTGTAAAGCATCCACGAATGACGTCTGAATGTCAGAAAGATGCTGGGCATAGATGATTGTTGCCAAGGGGAGATGACATGATAAAATTTTGTTAGGGCCAGGGGGAGGAAGGGTGACTGCCCCCTCCCTCCACCCCCCACCCCCCCCCAACACCTGTCTGGAGTGTTCAGCTTAGAATTCTGTTTCTTCCCTGCTCAATGATGAATTTCAGCAAGATGTTGGGCGGAGAGATGACTTGAGAAGAGTTTCTTTCGCGGAGAGGGGAGGACTACACACTACCTGCCCCCTCTCTCACCCTTCCTGCCCCTGAACTGATCAGTTTAGTACTTCCTGCCCCTGAACTGTTCAGTTTAGTATTATGTTTCTTCCCTGCTCAGTGGTTGGCCTTTTGTTTACGGGGCTCTCTCTCTCTCTCTCTCTCTCTCTCTCTCTCTCTCTCACACACACACACACACACACACACACACACACACACACACACACACACACACANCACACACACACACACACACACACACACACACACACACACACACACACACACACACACACACACCCCACGTGCAGACGAGCCGTGTGCTAAACCCCAGTGGCAGGTGCTCATACTCATTATAACCCCCAAAGCCCTGCCACTTTGACGAACTGGCACTTTTTTCCGAGCCTGGCTGACCAAACAAAAACAATGTGAGCCGGCTTGTAGCAGCAGGGGGGCACAATTGTGGTTTTTGGCGACCGACATTTGTTTTGCCATCAAGGGATTGTTGTTTCACTTGTTGAATATTTTTCTTGCAAAGATCAGTCTCTGATTTTTTTCGTTTTTCCCATCAAATATTCTGTGAACGAAAATCACCACTGTAGGCATACCCTCTTTTCACAGGCTGGGCCTCACTGCGACAGGTGAAATATGACATGCGGGCCTCACCGCTTCGCTTTTTAAACAAGGACGGATGCCGAAAATGCCGTGATGGACTTCGACCCCTCCTCCGCCTAACAACCGCTCTGTGCCCCCCCCTCTAAATGCCTCCCTGGACATGGGAACTCATCGGACTATGCTTTGGTCCTAGGGGGGACGGATAGACCTAATGTTGTAAAAAACTGGTTGTGGTGTGTTATGCCATCCCGTATGGGCTGGAATTTAGACTCCTTAAACCAGCAGTACGTTTCCCTAAAAACCTCGTTGTGGTGTGTTATGCCATCCCGTATGGGCTGCACTTTAGACTCCTTAAACCGGCAGTGTGTTTCCCAGCCAAAGAACAAAATATGCGGCTTGCGTGCTGGTGCAACTTTCGGCGCTCGGCCTCCGGAGCAAAATGGCTGGCAGCGCCAGGGACGCCGGGCCCGTTTCCCAGTTATATGAAATCTGCTTTGTTTGGGAAAAAAAAGGTCCGCACAGAGGGCGTTTCCAGCCCCGGAGGAAAGTGCCTGGGAAGTACTGGTTGTTTAAACTAGCCAGCCCACATCTCGGTCTCGTTTCCCAAAAATGTTTTTGGGGGTCTGATGTGGCAGTGGCTGAGCTTGGCCATCTGATCACCCCGGCCTCTGAGCTGATGGAGCTGGCACGGCTGTATTTTCGAACGACTCGTGACACTCTCTCATGGTGGAGTGGTGGCAATTATTACAAACTCTCTGGGCTTGTTAGTCAAGTAGGACGGATTTCGCCATAGCAAACCTGTGGAGTGGAAACCTGACCCAGATCTGCACCAGAAGTCCTGTGGCATACATTTTGCCAGGTAGTGTAGACTTTGCGGGGTAGTGGCAGTGGCCAGGTGCAATAGGTCACACCCACACTGGGACTTCTCTTAATGTATTGGACTGCGACTTTTGGGCCATCGTGGACCTAAAACAAGACTTAAATAGTCATATTGTTGAAGAGTTTCCATATAATGCTTTATCATCATTTGTGTGAGTTTGTTTGATATTCATTTTGATATATAAATCACATACGTAACGAACTGAATTGACCGCCAGGGACCTGAGTGGGATGATGCCGTGGAGTTTTTGTCTGGCGGAATGATCCCTCTGGGAATACTCATTTTCATCGCCTAGCCCATCGTGAAGGGGTTGTGGGTGCTTGTCCACGGAAACGAAAATGCTCAAGATGTGGCTGCCTGTGGTCATTCGCTGGAGATGTGGCTGATGCCGTGGAGTTTTTGTCTGGCAGAACCATCCCACTGGGAATTCCCAGTTCCGTTGCCTAGCCCATTGTGAAGGGGTTGTGGTCACCAAAATCAAAATGCTGGAGATGTGGCTGCCTTTGGTCATATGCTGGAGATGTGGCTGATGACGCGGAGTTTTTGTCGGGCAGAACCGTCCCACTGGGAATGTCTCATTTTCATCGCCTTGCCCATCGTGAAGGGGTTGTGGGCGCTTGTCCACCAAAACCAAAGCTCAAGATGTGGCTGCCTTTGGTCATACGCTGGAGATGTGGCTGCCTTCGATAGTGACCTCGAGTAGAGAGTGGCTTTTGTTTTGCCCAATTTTTACAACTTGCAAGAGCTGACAAGTCGGCATCCTTGAGAACCGGAGACAAGGGCCCCACTTAGCTGGGGTCTTTATTTCTAGCAGTAGATTGCAAGGAGCAATGGCTGGAGACGGAGAGTGTATGTAACTAGGACCTTGGCTCTGCCAGCTGTTTTGCACTGACAGCCAGCCCCCAAAAGTTGCGTGCATGCAGCCACCTCGGAGAAAAATGGCCAGGAGATGTACTGGTGGCTCAACAATGCATCTTTTTCTTTTGCATGGTTGAGGTATGTATATATGCTTATGGTATGACTGTCATCTGATTTTGATTTTCCCCATATTTTTGTCTGCGAGAATAAGGACCTTATGGTTCTGGCTGTTTTCTAATGTTTGGAGCATCAGTCCGGTTCTCTTTCCACTGGCAAGTGTGCTATGTGCAGTGACAACCAGACTTGGACACTTTCTTGCGTTCAGGCTGAAGGAACCCCCAACATCATTGATTGTTCCTTATGAAGTCCGATTGACAGGCATGTATAGCCCTTGATTCCTCATCGGGTTGCTCTTAGTCATATTCACACAGGCTAGTGAATTGGCACAAAATTCAAGCCTTGTTTTCCCTTGAGGGGTGGTTGATTCTCTGGAAGTGTTTCCAGTGAGGTGGGCCTGTTAAACCACCAGTACCTTTCTCATTTATCGGCCGCGGCAGAGTAGAATTGTTTCTAGTTGGATTAATTTGGGTGCTCCCATAGTGGCCCGTGCTTGTGTACCGCTGTGACTTTCTTTGGTTTAAGGTATGACTTGTGGAGTTGGTGAAAGTCGGTTGTTGTAGAAGCCGCCTGTTGTTGCAGCAGCTTCTATGGGTTGTTGGGGGAGCGGTTTACAGTTAATTCTTCTGGAAGGGGGAGGTGCGGTCGAGGAGACAGGACCACTAGCTTCTCTAAGTTGGGGAAATAGGTAGCTGTGATTACCTGGGAGGAAGGGGCGGTGGGGTGTGGGAGACAGCACCGCAGGGAAGAAAAGAGATGGGCCAGAGCGTTGTGAGGACATAGGCTGTCAACTTGTCAAGTGATCGCGGATGTTAGGTGTAACAGAGGGAGGAGGCAGGATAAAAAATGTGGGAAGGGGGGCGGTGTCCATCGTCTGGATGATGAGATGGTTGAAAGCAATCAACTACAGGGCAGTGGTAGAGATGCACAGTAGAGGCAGCCTCACAGGACATCATCAGAATGCCCCGCTGATGCGGGTGAAGACAAGTCCAACGCAAGAGATAGGAACCTACCAAGCGGAGGAGGAAGAGCTCTGGAGGAACTCCTTGGGGTACTGGCTACCATTTCCGAAGATAGGGGAAATCGTAGACATCCATCTTGGCTCGAACCAATGGTACAATTGAAAACAGTCGAGGGCAGATTGCAGACAGCCAACCGTTCAACTAGCACTAACATGGTGTTAGAATTATTTAAGGCCTAGAATGATCGATCTCTGGGACGTCCGTTAAAATTGGAACGGTACGGAGAAGATTAGCATGGCCCCTGTGCAAGGATGGAAAGTAAGAAAGAAGAACAGTAGATCTTCAAGAAACACAGAAAAGACGTTCACAGAACGAAAATAGGAAGGAATATTGGATGGTAAATCCTTCCCTCAGGGAGAGCAATGAATGCTGTCCTCATCTCTGAAATGTTGTGTGATTGGAACCAGTTTGATAGTGCCCATAGTACAAGGGAGTCATGTCCCTATGGTCATCTTCAGGAATCAATGACAGCTGTTCTCATCTCTGGATCTGTTCTGTCATTTTTTTGCGGGTGGAAAAGGAGCAGGCCCAGAGAACAATGGACTGGTGACCATAAGGTGATGCTCAGGAATCGAAAGACTCGGGTTGTCGTTGGATCCTTACGGAACGATGAAACAAGGTTCTGAGAATTCCAATCTGTAGAATGGAGAAGAGGAGATGGTGATCCATCTCCCAAGATGGCATGGAGGGAGAACTGGACCAGGCAGGCCTGTTTGGCAATTGATGCCGTGGCCCTTAAACCACCAGTACGGTTTCCCAGCTAGGAAACCACATATGCAGCTGCATGTCGCGAAGTACTGGAGCGCCGTTTTGCTGGTTATCCATCCAAGCATAACATGCCTCACATGCGACCCCCGGGTGGGTATCCAGTGAAACAGCGCCCCGACACTCCCGAGAGTGTCGGTTGCATGCACGCTGCGATGTTGAAAAAATAGCGGGGAAACGTACTGGTGGTTTAAAAAGCTCACAAGGTGACCTGCTGCAGAGTTAATGGGATGTTAATGTGGCGATGAGAGAACATCAGTGATATCCAGTGAAACAACGCCCTGGCACTTCCGAGAGTCTCGGTTGCATGCACGCAGCAATGTTGAAAAAACAGCGAGGAAACATACTGGTGGTTTAAAAGCTCACAAGGTGGCCTGCGGCAGAGTTAATGGGATGTTAGTGTGGTGATGAGAGAACATCAGTGGTATTAGCCAAATAACCATAGGTGCAAAATAAGGTGACACCCAAGCTTACAGTGACCAAAGTCTGGGATTGGATCTGTGTACACAGTGTGGCAGTCCTGGTCCAGTGGCTAGCATTGAGAGGGGTAAGTAGGATCGCGCTTATGCTCGTCTTGCAGCTATCAAAAGAAAATGTTTTTGGAAAAAAAAAATGTAGAGGATGTAAAAATGCCAAGGACACTTTCATGCCAAAATGTGCGTGGGCCCACAGGCCCGCATCCCACTTTCCGGTGCTTTCAGCCATGGTTCTTTTGAGGTCTATCGTGTTTCGCATGGCTGCTGAGAGTCTCGTTAGCAAGTAGGCCAAGGTCTCAAGCAGTTAGGATGGGCTCGAATCGAATCTGAGTACATGGACACCACCGTTAACTATTGCAGCCGACTTAAACCACCAGTACACCCGGGCCTGGAGGCGCCTTACTGCACTCCAAGCTTTCCGAACTGCCAACGGCACACTTTCTTTCCTTTTTGGCTGCCGCTGCCAGCCATTGTGTCCGGTAGGCCGAGCCTCAGAAATTTCGTAGGTGTTGCATTTTCAGCAACGCTGGGGCTGTGTACTGGCAGCTTAAACCACCAGTACTTTCTCGAATCGTGCCCGTTAACGCACCATGATTTTAGGAAACGTACGGGCCACTACAGGAGCGCCCAAATTCATCCGACTAGAAACGTTTTTTTTTTGCGGTCGATAGCTGGGCCAAGTACTGGTGGTTTAAACCACTAGTCCATCTGAAGTCACGGAGCATCTGTTTTCAATGATACAGTAACTCTGGCTGGCAGACACTGAGTACATGAACACCGCAGCCCAGTGCCAGCAGAGCAACGGATGACCGGTAAGTCTGGGCCCCAAAATGTCTGTGGGAGGTGCAGAATTCTCAATGATACAGAGGCAGGTACTGGTACTGTGTTGATTTTTCCGACGGCCGGTACTGGCCGCTTTTAGACTTGGGAACATGCATTTTTTTAGTTTGTCAACTTAGCTGCGGATGGATGGCTGGTTTAAAATTTAAACCACCACCACGCTTGGTTTCAACTTTAAACCACCACTACGCTGAGGCTGTGTCTACCAATGTGAAATCGTGCTGCGTGCCAAAAAAAAAAAGAGCGGGCGCAGGTGCGATGTCTGTGCGATGTCTTTTTTTTTTGGCAGGCAGCGCAACGCCAGAGCAAGCCATTTTGGTCCGGTAGCCTGAGCCCCTGAAAGTTGTGGATGAATTCACTCATTTTCTTTGCCGGGGGGCACAAAGTGGTGGTTTAATTTGGGGGGCCCAAATTATGTCTAGAGGCTTGCAGGAGTTCCAGGCCCACAGGCCTCCCAGAAGGGCCCATTTTGGGCACAGTAAGCAGTAGTGGAGAACCATTACTTGCCCTAGCTTCTGTCTTATCTTGAGGATGAAATGACAGGACTTTTGGGAAAGGAGGGGGTGTTTCAGGATATATTTGGTTATGTTAGGGGAGTTGCATCGACATGTGCGAAGAGCAGGCTAGCTTCTATCTTTATCTGGATGACAAAATGACGTCAGCTTTGGGGAAAAGGGGGGTGTTCTGGTTAATGGGGCGATATGCCAGGGGATTTGCACCAACAGGTGTGAAGAGCTGGCAAGGGAGGGATGTACGTCTGGAAGTGATGACATCCATATCTGTCTGCATGTAGAGGTTCATTCTACTTCATAGCGATGAACCCTTTGCTGGGTGCAAACGGGAGAGTGGATATCTCAGCAGTCAACGTACTTGTTGTTAGGTTATGAGCTTATGATGGAAATGTGTTTTCTGACACGTTCGCCCCTCTGCATGTTGCAATTTTCATATTGACGACCTGAAAAAGTATTCATATCCCAGAGGAAATGGAGGGCTGGATAGGTGATGCACCGGATAGATGATGCATGGACGAGGGAGAATTGCAAAAAAGGTCTTCTATCATGCTGGAAAGGTGGGTGGCCTTTTTGCGGATCATTGGAAGAAAACAGTCTTGCACTCAATTATTCGCTTCCCTCTCCAAGCATTTGTGTGTAGAGGAGAACACTTCGCATCAGGGTATGGTAGAGATGCCCGAAAGGTGGTTGACCTTTTGGGTCATCATTGGGACGAAACAGACCTTCACTCAATTGTGCAGTTTCCTCTCCAAGCATTTGTGTGTAGAGGAGAACGCTTGGCATCAGGGTATGGGAGAGTGCTTAACATTGGTATGTCGGATGTGCAACGGATACAATACGTAGGTTGGTACTCTACACGGTCCCTGTGGCAATAGCGGCGCACACATGAATAGCACGAAGACAATTCGTGTCGACTTTGCTTGTTTGATCAAAACTTCTGGAACTCGGCATAATTCCGCCCTCGGACGTCTTGGGCTCATGTCATGTCCTCTCAGATACACTGAAAGAAAGTATGAGCAAAACGCTGATATTTTGATTGGCTTAGGTGCTTGTTCTTAGGGCGACTTCTCTTTGCGTAGCACCAAAAACTGAAATCATGTTTTCTGTGAAATCTGAAGGTCTGATTGCGTTGCATTGCATGCGGTGCACCTACGTATGGGTGAAGGAGATGAGGATGGAGAAAGGGTGCAGAGCAGCAGCAAACAGTAGGGTGTCCCCTCAACTGACCCCGCTCATTCCAATGGACCCTGCTCCCACATAATTGTCCCCCTGCCTCATTTTGCAGATTTGCGTGCACGACCTCATATGATGACAGACCCCCTATTGTACAATGGGCCACTGCTCACGACTTAGGAGGAGAAAGGTGGAGCCCGAGGAGAAATGTGGAGCTCCAAGAATGCCACGGCGCTGAAACTCACAAGTGTATATGATAGAGTGAGCAAAGTGTGCATACGAAATTATATGAGATCACCTGTGCGAGACGAGCATGTGCTCTTTTACCAACTCAACCATGTATCTCAGGCGATGCTGACCCACCTTCCAGTAGGTGTAGCTCCCCACCGATGGAGCCCCATGCAAGACAGGTAGGAGTGCATGCTCTCTTACACTCCTATCTTTTGACCCGGGCGGAATGTAAAAAAAAAAAGAAAAAAGAAGGAAAAAGGACCAGCATCAGACTTCCCAGACCTGTTCCTGCCATACTGTCTTGGTCTGGTGTACGTGGGATGAAACTGCTAGACGGCCTACTGGTTGTCTTCTGGTGCCCCCCGGAGCGAACAGAAGTCCGACTTGTCGATGTAGCTGTATCGCATGTCCCTGAGCCGAAACCGGGTAATGGCCGCGGTAAAAAATCACCTGCATGTAGAACAGGCTGGGCGCTGGGGAATGCAGTGTGGCCGGGTCGGCGGGATGCAGAGTGGGCAAACCTATGGGAGAGCTCATGGCTGCAACGCACATGACATGTATGCGCCAACTTCTTTTCTCTCAGTACGGCATGACGTTACTAAAGGTACTGATGCTGAGTGGAAGGGAAGCTGCTCGATGAAGTAACGGAAGGAAAGCATGTCTGTATGCCCGATGTGTGCAGGGCATCCCACAAGGTCCTCTTTTCTTTAGTGGGTAGACCCTAACATTACTGTGTCCAACCAATTTCGTAAGGATTCGAACTCGTGATCTATTTACTGTCACCATTCGAATCCATTTACTTTTACCATTCGGCCACATTGGCTGGGCACGATATCCGAAGGCTTGGCGTATTTGATCGTCTCCACTTTCTGGAGTTGTGGGAGTCCGAAGTCTCCACTCTCCCGAAGTGTGGAAGTCCAGGTGTTACTCATCTGCTGCCAACAAAATCACACAAGTGCTGGAGGGCCCCACACAAGTGCTGGAGGGCCCCACCCAGTGCTCTGATCTGCCTGGAAGAATATGTGATAGAAAAAGTGCCAGCACCTCTGCTGAACCAGCTAACGTTTTAAATGGCAAGTGGCAGTGAGCATTTACCAATAAGTTAGGATTGATGGACTGTTATATTCTTAGGCTGTTAAGGATCCTCCCTCCTTTCGAGGGAGGGGCATGGGAGAGGAGAGGGGGAAACAAATGGATGATTTCTGATGCCCATTGGTGGTCATGCTGATCCTTTAGACAAGACCACTGGGACAGCAAAAAATGATGACAACGAGGATGGAGATTAGGAGGATAATGCTAGTATATACTTTGGTCGGACGTTTGGCACTATGGTGACTGTCGGGAACTTGCCGAACCTTGTGGACTCCTAACAAGGTTGGTAGTATACCAAGTTACCAACACTGTTCATCAATCCTGAAAACCAATGTGTCCCTGTCTGGCCTTGCCAGGCCCTTAGGACAAGAGCATAGACTGCTTTTGGACTGAAACAAAAAGAGGGAAAAAGACGTAAGCACTAGCTAGGCTACCAGAGTGGCGCGGGACCACTAGCCCGGCCGGGCCAAAACAAAAAAAAAGAATTTTATTATTATTATTATTATTTAATAGATTTTTTAATTGGTAAAGAATTTCGATGTGACTCTGAGGCAAAAGTTGCTCAGTTTATTTTTCTGCATAACACTTTTTTTTTTTTCGGGTTTCTTTTTTTTTTTTTTTTTAACTGGGACCTTCCCTGGTCCTTGCACAGCCGGGCCGCCGTGACCTGGGCGCCCTGGCTGGTAGCCTAGGTAAAAAGAATAAAGGGCACAAACACTCTTTCACATTCATACAGACAAAACTGATGGGTAAGGAGAATAAGTTTTCGGTATTGTCACTCGTAGAAGAAAAGTTCATTTGCCCTTCGGGACATCCGTTAAAATTGGAGCGATACAGAGAAGATTAGCATTAAAAAAAAAAAAAAAGAAGAAAAGTTCATTTACTGCTTAGGGAATTTTGGAACCCACCCTTGTATGATGTGCAGGCATTGAACCCTCCCTGACAGCCGCGTTAACCAACTGCAGTCAAGGTGTCATTTTGACATGCATGTCAGTGAAGCAGGCTGATGTAGTCAGTGACAGGGAAATTGACCTTGATATTGTTCTATATATATATTTGTGAGGATATATATACATATATATAGCCTCCTGACGAGTTGGTGAAACTCCGACGAAACGGTTTGTCACAGCCTCTCGTTTGTTGTCCTCTTCTCCCTCTCTGCCTATGGTTTACCGGGCAGCTCTGTTTGACGATATATATTAATTCTATTAATTATATTATATATATAAATATATATATAAACTAAGCTACATTCTTCTCTCAAAGTCACCTCACGCTACCTACCTACGACTACTCCTATAATTATAGTCGTACGGGGAAACCCCATAGCAGCCAGAACTGTGTTCACGAGAGAACATCGGGGGGCTGCCGCCGACCTTGATATTGTTCTCACCAGATTTATCTGACCTTGTTAAGCAGAATAAGGGAGGGGTGGTGGGGACCACCAGAGGCCTGCATGGTGCTGCTCCTCACTCATTCCCAAAGTGAAATTGTATGATGCAGGAAAGTCATGACATTTGTTACCTGTTTTGGAAGAAAAGGAATAACACCTGGGATGATTCTGTTTTGACGTATGTCTGTGCGCAGGTGCTTCTGGCTTATCTAACCAGTCTGACATGGACGTCAGGTCTCATTGTCGATGTTCTTGGAGCCCTGCTGATGCTGAGGGCAGTGTCGCTTGCACCTGTGAGTCCCGACTTCCTAACCTTTTGTCGGGATGTTACACCCCAAAATTCTCGTACAAATTTACTGTATACTTCAGCACGATTGCGCCATGCTCCATCTGTTGCAACTGAGATCTTTTTGCCTCTCTTTTGCACAGTCCACGAAAGCTTTGTCAGTCGGGAAACCCGATAAATAACACAGGAGGCAAAAGCAAGAAAGCTCTGCAGTGTTTGGACCATATCTGAATCACATCTCTTATCTCTGGATTGCACAAAAGCTTTGAACCATATCTGAATCATTTGTCTTATCTTTGATTTTCACAAAACAGAAACAAGGACTGCGCAAGGTTATTTGCACATCTCTTATTCAGCTCTCTCAAGAGCTAAGTTATCCTCACCACCACCTTGTTCCTGATAGGGCTGAATAAGATGTGCAAACAACCTTGTGTGTTTTGTGAAATTTAGAGATAAGAGGCGCGATTCAGATATTATATGGGGCAAAGCTTTCTTGCATTGCCTCCTGTTTTTTAGATGGAGGTTGCCGACTGACTACGTTTTCGTGGACTGACAATGACCAACAGGTGCAGGTAATGCTTGCTGTTTTTTTTTTTTTTTTTTTTTTTTTTTTTTTTTTTTAATTCAGAACTATAATATTTTACTCATCTGCTTGCAGTGGAGTTCGAACTCAGGTCTGTATTTCAACAGTTCAGTGCAGTCCAGGGGGGCTGTACCAACTGACAGCTAGGTCAGTTGGTTGACAGGTACTGCATGCAGTTTTTAGTTCAGCGAATGTGTTCCATTCTGAGCTGAGGAACAGGGCTAGTTAAGGAGCCACCCACTCGCACCGTGCCTTGTTGGGTAAGGGTGACTCTCTTCTGTTGTTTTTTCCCAGAGTACATAGCACGAAAAAGTGAGATGGTAACACTGAAACTTTGTTTTTTTTTTCCGCTTTTCAGTTGATGCTTTTACAGCTATAGGCTCGTAGGAACCTAAAGTCGCTGTTTTGTTTGGATTTTGTTTGTTTTTTCCTGTTGCTTCGTAAAAAAATGATGAGTTTTGTGAAAATTTGATCACCTCTCTGCACTTGAGGATCTGACGAGCCATGGGGGTGGTGGGGGGGAATAGGATGGGGTTCCCAAACTGTGCAGTCTGGAAGTTTCGAGGATGGGAATAGGATGGGGTTCGCATGCACTACTTTGGCTGCAGTGTGGCTGTGCACTTTGGGGATACGGGCAGTTTGGGGGTCCGAATAATGGCAGTATGCGCATGGTCTTATCAATAGCCTTGTGGCCACCGCCTGAGTTTGTCGATTTGTGTGTTTGGCTGCAACAGGTCTCTGTAGTGCAGCCTGTCTCAGCATGTGGGCTGGCGATTTTGGCGCTATTCTCACATTTCTACCTGAAGGAAAACATGCAAGAAGGCGATTGGTTAGGAGTTGCACTCGCTGCTGCCGGAACCATCGGTGGGACACCCTGGTCTGATCTTCAAATTCAAATCCGGTACAATCCGGAAATTCATCATCGTCACTGTGATTGTTATTGTCATTCTTTGCTGATGTTTATTGCGTTGAATGGTTATTATCATTCAGACTTTGATGTTATGTTATTGGTGTCAATGACTGCCACAGGGCCATTCGTCTACGGTGCTGTCGGGATTTGCTTGATGCATGCATTGTGGGTGGTTTATGCAAGGAAGATAGTTTATGTCAATGGCAAACAGAGTGCTGCTTTGGAAATAAAAGTCTTATGTTTGCTCAAGGGAACAATGGAAGTACACTTTTGAAGCTAGTCGTTGTTTATATGCTGCCAGCTGTGTGTCTCCGTCCCTGTCGTACGCGATAAGAACAGCTGATGCGCCTAAATTGAAGTTTTGTTGTCGATATCTATGCGTGACAGTGTCAAAAGCTCAGTGGGTACACCTATGAACTGTTGAAATACAGACCTGCGTTCGAATCCAGGTGACGATGGAACTTGATGAGTAAAACCAAATAAAATATTTCTGAATTGACTGGGGCCGGTCAGCTCAATGATGATGGTATCTGGAGACCGTCGCCCTTTAAAAAGGCGTCATTGCGAAGCCTCATTCTCAGCGGTGGAAGGTCGAGACATCAGATGGACTGCTGAGATCTCTGTGTTCCCTTACTATGAAAACCACCGCTGGGAGCACAGAGATCTCAGCAGTCCATCTGAGATCTCAGCAGTCCATCTGATGCAAAACCTTGTTTTTTTTTTCTGAGTATGGCGTGGTTGCCTCATGTTAAGTTGGATGATGTGCTTTCCCCAGAGTGCACACGGTAGTTTGGTATTAGACACGCGGTACCGGAGGAGTCTAAACACACCTGGCAACGAGGTTGTTCGCGCTGGGCTACTGATCTGGCAGAGACAAAAGGCGTCTTTGCACTAGAACTTCCTTGGATGTTCTGACGGAAATCATGACCCGATTCAGTCGGAAATGCCCTAATTGTTACTGAAGAACTCGCTCTGGCACGTTTCAGGTAGTGGAGTGTAGGCGGTGTCTGGGGGATTCGAAAGTTGCGGATAGGCGTCGATCACTGTCAGAGTAAAGGCCACTAGGTTGTAGAGGCTTGCTTGGAGGACGGAGGTGGGCTCCAACAAGAGGGGGGGGGGGGGGGGGCGACCTTTGAAGAGCGAGGACACTGATCGTTAGTTGGCTTTGAGAGTATAGTCGCACCAGACCCTTGAAATCGCAGAATCACAACTCAAGTGGCCAGATCGTGTCCTCCTTTAGGGGGACTGGATCTGGCTGCTGATTTTGCAATCCTGCGATTATGAGCACCTAGCATGAGTATGCCCTTATATTCTAAGTTCTAACCCATATCTGCAGCCATAAGGCTTTCTTTTTGATTCTTTGTTTTCTAAACCACTACTCCGGATTCAATCCGTAAATTGCACAGAGGTCCCCCCTTTGGATGCGGGTTTGGGGGAGCGCTGAGAGGGGGAACCGATCATCATATCTTTGGCCAAATGTCCTGCAAAAAGACTTCCAAAAGCCAAAAATATTACAGGAATTGCCATCAGAGTAGGAGCATCATGACATCTTTCGATGTCTCGCTTAAAAGCATTGGTTGGAGCAAGTCAACGAAAAGAATAATAAGAAGTCAAAAATACAGAAAGACTTCCAAGCCAAAAAGCCAAATTACCACTTATGGTATACTTAGTATAAGCAAGTTCTACGATCACATCCTTCGAATAAAATCCACCTCAGAGGCGTTGGCAATATTTTGGCACAAGTTTCAATGAAAAATTCTGAAAAAAGTCAAGGCGCGTTAGCGTCTATAAATTCTCAATGTTGAGCTTAGATTACCAAAAACACGCACGTTATATAGTGTTACGATCACCTCATATTGATAAGAAGTCTAGAGAACAATTTGAAATGAAGACGTTGGGTGAGTGCTGATCCTTTTGGGGAAATATTAGAAAAGAATCAGAAGGGTTATTTCGTAGAAGGACTTGGAGTTTCAAAAAAGGGGCTTGGCGTGAGTTCAAGAGCTGAGCTCAGTTGGTACACCCATGAACTGTTGAGATACAGACCAAGTCCGAATCCTGATGGACTTCGGAATTACCATGGGGCCTGTTGCTTCGGTGATGATATCTCAAGGCCGCCGCCCTTTTTTTTTTGGAAAAAAAAGAGCTGCCTTGCCGTTTGAGAGGCCCTCAAGGCCGTCGCCCTTTTTTTTGTTGGAAAAAAAGATCGGACTTGCCGTTTGAGAGGCTCAAGGCCGTGACTCCTTATTTAAAAAAAATAAAAATGGTTGGGATCCGGTTGGGCATTTCCTGCAAATCCATGATAGGGCTGCTGGGCAGGAGGACCACTAGCTTTGAGGCTTAGGTACCGAGTGCACCTGAACTGTGAAGCGGTCTGAATCCGTCTGATTCATTTAGTTTAAGGTAGTTGAAGTTTGTTTAAGGTTGTTTGAGATAGTTTAAGAATCTGAGTGAAATTCCATCGAGAATCAACAACGCCTCACTTCTTATACTAACAACCACTCGCATCTTATACTACAACAATGAAGCTGCTTGAGTCGGCATATTTTTTTTTAACTTTTAAAAGTTATCATGAAGAAGATTCCATCATGGAAACTTCCTCATATGCGGTAAACGAATCCGGAAGTTTAGGAGAAAAGTAATGATCTGATGAAAGTTCATGAAACACTCTCTTTATGTCCAGAATCTGGAAAAGGAATTCCTGTTCAATGTGTGAATTGATTGCTTTTTTTTTTTTTTTCCCCTTGTCTGTGGGCAATCTCCTGCTCTCTATCTTTTGTGAGACTACCGTCTTTGTCCGTTGTATTGGGGTCAATTGTGAGCAACCTGCCAGTCTCTTGTGGGAGACTTGAGCACACAGATCGTTTTCATGACACCTGATGGCCAGGTCTACTGTGACCACCAGTGCCAATACGGAACTCCTGGGAACAGGGTCCGTGAGCCTCCCTTGTGTTTGGTCCCCATTCCACTTGTAATGACGTCATAATTTTCCCCGCTCTGAATGTGTGTCATCTTGACTGGGAGGTGTGGCATTGTTGATAAATCTCTTTACGGGTGGGCATGAGAGTGGTTGGATCATATCGAAACGATCTGCACCTAACGAGTTGGGGAATCGTTGATGATTGTTAGAGCTTCTGCCGCAGCTGATGTTCTGTTGATGATTTCTAGTACTGGAACTGGTTGCTTTTCCTAGTGAGCTGCTGCTGACTACGCCTGCTTAGTGCAAATATGCGAGTAGCCATGGGGACCTTTTTCTTTGGTTATATTTTGCATGGGAGGTGCAAGACGCCATCTTGAATCTTGGGCATCAGGTTGCATTTTCTAGGTTTGACGTTTGAAGAGACCCTTGTGGGCATTTCCTAAGTCTCACTTTCTCTCTCTTGGCTGGTTGGATAGATGGTGGAACAGGGTGTTGGGGCGGAGATTCTGTCCGAGTCTAGTCATTTTTTCACATGATACTGTGTGGCTGTTCTGTTTCCTTGATCTAAACTGTTTTCCTGTGACGATCTATATAGCATTATTTAGTGGATTTCTGCATTGTCTGCCGCTTTGTTCCACGATGATGGGATGGAGAGCGAAAGGAGGGTTCCCATATCTGGCAGCTCCAGAGTGGTGAGCTGGAGGAGAGGGGACCACCATACTGCAGAGTTATCCTCATGGGAGTGAGCTTTCATTTGTGTATACAGTGTGTTCCTCGACTTCCCTCTTCTTTTTTTTTTCCTGCTAAACTTCTGTAAGATATTTCCATTCGTTTAAGGTTGTCAATCTGGCGGAAACTCGGATGCTCTACGTCTTTACATCTCGCTGTTCAAAGGCTTTAGCGGTCGTGACATATACGACTGTTCCTGCTGAGTGGAACCATGAGTGTTCATAGTGCATGGGAGAGACAGGATATTATGATGTATCTTCTGACAATAGCTACTGCCAACAATGCAACTGAGACTCGATGGCAGTTTCAGTGAACTGTGACGAATGGGCCCATACGGTATGGCCCGATCCTTCAACTGCATGGGCGGCGGTGGACAGACTATCGTTCTACGGAGGAAGCTAGGCAGGTGCTACAAGAGCCAGGGGAGAGGGTAGGATTGTTGGAAAAACGGGAGGTAGACAAAGGGGGGTTGGGTTAGCAAATCGATTTTGTGTTCTCGCACAGGAACACGTGGAGAGCGGTTGAAACCGAAAAGACTGAACGTACTGATTGGTATGCCTGCCCTACCCGGTTTGCAGGGTTGAAGGCGGGGTGATTAGCTGATAGAGGGTTAAGGAGTTTGGATACCAAGACTGGGTGGCTGTATTGGATTTGTGACTGGTTAGGCCAACGCCTTGAGCGAATGGGTAGTGTCACGAGTTGACGACTGTCCGTGCTAGACAAACGTACGACTGTTGATGGAACGAATGCGTCTTCTTTTTGTAAAGGGTGTTGGCAGTGTGGATGGAAAGATCCCTATGTGGCGAAGTGTTGTTAGGATGGGGACAATGAAGAAAGGTCTTCAGAGAGACGTGATGTTTGCCGGTAGGGATTTGAGGGAAATGGTTCTTCGCAGGTTGTTGTTGACCTTTGAGAGCGCTCTCTACCTTCCATAAGTCTGCTGATATCTGTTATTAAATGGCTGATGGGCGCCTCCAGCTGAGGA